CAACTTAGTGAACAACCGAACCTCATCTTGTAATACCTGTGCATCTTCCTCACGAATGAGGTCGGCCTGAAAGGAACCGAAGGTGCTGAGCGCACGAGTCCAATCCGAGGCCCGCTGGAGCTGGATGCCCGCAACTGGCAGCATATGGCGTGGAAAGACCCCAGGCTTGCAATCTCGATGCTCTTGGAGAATAGATACGCTCTTTGCCATGCGCATCTTCATGGCCCGCATATGGCGAGCCCAACGTCCAAGAATCTTGTACGCTGCCAACCTCTGTGGTGGCCTCGCATCTGGAGCTCTCAGCTGCTTCCACTCCCAAGTAGGGGGGCCTGCCCGACCTTGGTGCCTGCAGCGTCGCCGAGAGTCAATGACATCATATCGATCAAGGACTTCACCTTCCAAGCGAACAATAACAGCATCCCAAGCGGCAGCAAGTTGTTGTGGGTTCTGGGCGCCGTCAATCAAATCCTGCGCAACTTGCCACTCCCGAAGAGGCGGGAATCTAGAGCACCCTGGGTGAGGCGCAGGGTCAACTGCAAGGGGCTGGACAGGTACTCTCATCCACATCACTTGTTCAGACTGCATCATCGTGACGGAGACGGGCAGATGCGGGAAGAGATCAGTGTCCTCCCGAACCTCGCAAGTGCCCGACTTGGTGGCCAACGCTGCTGACATGCAGATGCAGTCATACATGGACCCAGGCTTGCTCTGCAAACAAGTCGGGCACGACGGGTGCACGACGATGCCACTGAGACTGTTGAAGAAAGGCCGAAGAAGGTAAATGTCCATATTCCAATCCCCTGCTATCAGCCAGTTCCTGCCCTGAGCTTCGAGCGAGGCGATGTATTCAGCAGCCTTGGTTAAGAAGTCGATATTGGCGTCACTGAGGCCCTCGCTAACCAGAAGGTAGATGCTGATCATGGTGATGCCGCCTTTGGGCCCCCAGAAAACTTTAGCAGCCAAGAGTCTCCCTGGGACGATCTCCACGGGGCACTGGGGCGCCTGGGTGATGGTCACACGCGCGGGCGCCAGGATCGCCATGCCGCCGAAAGTGCCACCTCGATCAGTCGGTGGCGCAGCTGCCCACAGACCAGTAAAGCCCGCTCGAGCAGCCTGGTGCTGGACGTCAACGAGACGAGCGGCGTCAGCATGGTGCTCATGTATGAGAAAGATGCTGGTGGCCGCCCACGGAGACTTGAGCATGTCTATCAAAGGCCCATGTGAGCTGACATTGGCAGTGACGACATGCTGGATGTTTGTCGTTGCGGCGCCAGATTGCGCCTCAGCAGCTCGGCTCTCAAAAGAGGCAGAGGTGGCTGCTGCAGAGCTCTTGACGGACTCCACGGTGTGAAAGCACGACACCAGCGCAAGCAATAATACGGCACGTCGTGGTCGACACCGCACCTTCACATCACCCACTCTAGCACCAGACTCCCCTCTCCCCAGCTTCGGCCATGACGAAGGAAGTCCCAGACGGGCCGAGGGTCCCCGAGCCTCCTCAGAAGCAGCCCAAGACGCAGGGCCTCTCGGGGGAAACACCAGCGGTGGCGGAAAGCCTGGGTCTGATGTTAGATCCCATTGGTAGTGGCTGAAGTAGTAGGCCAGCGCAATGCCAGCGCAGACGACACAGAAGTTGATGCACCCAACTCCGCTGAAGAGAACGTGGTAGCTGATCACGACAACGCGCGCGAACAGCTTGACATCAAGATACGACGATAAAGTAAAACTCCCCATTAGGTGCACAGACAGCGCCAGCATGAAGACCAGCACTGCGAAATCCCGAAACCCAATCCACTGCATCATCTGCTTGAGGCAACATGTCGGGTCCACGCCTCCGACGCCGGGCGCAAGGGCAAGCCCCAGAACTTTAAGGCTATGCCACCCGACGTCATGGGAGGGACACGCCGACAAGGCCACAGCAGTCACAACTATGCCCAGGACGAATGAGTTAAGCAGAACCTGAACTTGCACCAGGTGCCGCACCGTCCTGGCCCACACGGCGCTTCTTGGCATAGTTCTCGGCAGCGGCGGTCCACCTCTTGGCGGCGGCTCTGATCTGGTCCTCCTCCTCAGGCGGTTCACTGCCTGTGATGTCACGGTAATATGCTTTGAGCTCCTCGATGTCGTCCGTGTCCATGGGAACTGCCGTCGTGTCTGCCGCACGCACCTCCTCGGCCGTCGGCATGTCGGCCCTGGGTGGTGCAGTCGGTGGCGCAGCAGGCGGCTTGGCCTCGGCCTTCGTCTTAAGCTCACGCAGGGCTGCGAAGGACTTCTCGACGACACCTTTGAGGGTTTCACCGGCTCCAACTCCCGAGAGGAGGTCGCCCAGCTGCTGGACCGACAAGTCGAGGGCGGGCACCATCGTGGTAAGATTGAACTGGCCTGGGACGGGGACAGGTCCTTTCGTGGCGACGGCATGTCGCTGCGCTTCCAGATCCATCCTCTCCGTGGCCAGCTCACTGGCCAGCTTCTCAGCTTGGGCAAGCTGGGCAGCGATGTCCGCTTGCTGCTCCTGGAGGCTAGCAATAGTCTTCTGCTGCTTGGCCTCTTGGAGCTGAATGGCTTCGATGCGAGTCGTCCAGTGCTGCACCTGGGCCGCATATGGCTTGCTGGAAACCAACTTGGACTTGATCGCATCCCTCTCCGCGATGAGATCACTCTTGGCCTTGATGAGGATGGCCTCCGACGGCGTGCCGAGCTGCCGTAGTGAGGCGGCGATCTCGTTGAGGCGCTTGTGCTCAGGGTCATTGGCCGCGTCGGCCTCTGGCAACAGGGCTGAGCCACCTGTCGCCTCCTTGAGCTTGTTGTCCTGCAGGGCTTGCTTGAGGCGCAAGATCTCGGCGTCCTTGTCCCGCAGCACTTGCTGGGAGACCGCAAGCTGGCCTTTGCCTGCACCCTTGGTCTGCGACAGGCTGATGCTGGGGGCCTTGGGCAGCTTGTGTCCGCCGAGCGCTGGCCCCTTCGCAGTGTGACACTGCGTGCAAGCTTGCTTGTCACCTCCATTCCACCAGCGCTCGCCCGAACGCGGGTGAAGGCACCAGCGGCAATACCACGGGCCGGCGGCCCACGCCCTGCGCGTGCTTGGAGCAGAAGATCCATTGGCCATCACACACGTGTGAGCGCAAGGGAAGCGAGCTGGGGACGTTCGGTCCCGAGTATGCTTGTGAGTAAGTTCGTAAGCGGTGTCTCCAGCCTGGGCAGGCGCTTGGGGGAGACACGAGAGCGGTGAGGGCCGCAGGTTCCCTCTTGCCAGAATGTCAAGTCCTGAGCGAAACGCTACGGACTTGAGCCAAAATGGCTACGGAGGGAGAGGGAGGAGGGAGGAGGGAGAAGGGAGGAGGGAGGAGGGAGGAGGGAGGAGCAAGGAGGGAGGAGGAAGGGAGAGAGGAGGAGATGAGGAGGAGGAGGGAGGAGGGCGGAGGGAGGAGGAGGAAGGAGGGAGGATGGGGAGGAGGGAGGAGGGAGAGGGAGACGGGAGGAGGGAGGAGGGAGGAGGGAGGAGGAGGAGGAGAGACGGGAGGAGGGAGGAGGGAGGAGGGAGGAGGGAGGAGGGAGGGGAGGAGAGGGAGGGAGGAGGAGGCGGAGGAGGAGGAGGCGGAGGAGGAGGAGGAGGAGGAGGACGACGAGGTGGAAGAGGAGGAGGAGGAGGCGGAGGAGGAGGAGGAGGAGGAGGGGAGGAGGAGGAGGAGGAGGAGAGGAGGAGGAGGAGGAGGGAGGAGGAGGAGGAGGAGGAAGAGGGAAGGGGAGAAGGAGGAGGAGGAGGAGGAGGAGGAGGAGGAGGAGAAGGAGGAGGAGGAGGAGGCCGAGGAGGTCGAGGTCGAGGAGGTCGAGGAGGATGACCCCCGTTTGCATTAGCCCCCGTTTCAAGGCTTGGTGTAGCCCCCCTCGGAGCGCCCCCGACCCCTTCCCATGGGGGGCCACCGCCTCGGCCTGGTTGGCCTTCTGGTGGCCCCCCTGGGCGCGACAGCGTTCCCTGCGGCAGAGTCCACTTTGGACCCGATCGATGCGGCTCGACGTCGGTGTTGACAGGCCCGATCCGCTTCGGTGTTGACCGGCCCGAGTCCGTCTTTCGAGGCCTCCTAGATGGGGTCCGAGTAGAGGGGGTCGAAGGATCGCTCCGCATAGCCGATGCATCGCCGATGCGGCTCGATGTGGAACCCGATGTGCTTCACGTCGACGTCGCCGATGCATCGCCCACGTGGACGATGCATTGCCGGTACATTGCCGATGCACCGCCGATACATCGCCGATGCATCGCCGATGCATCGGCGATGCGGCGCGATCTTCCGACCCCATCTTCTCCGACTTTATCTAGGATGCCTCTAGTCTTGGGAGTTGTTTGGGGTCCCGGTGGAGCATCTCGGAGGCAGTCTTGAAGCGTGCTGCTCGGAGGCATTTCACTTTCCCTTCCTCCTCGCGGCCCCAGGAGGGGGGTCTCGAGAGGGCGCTGGGGGACGGCGGCGGTTGCGTCCCGCGAGCTCTCGGCACCTGCGCGCGGCGGCCACGCTGGCGCGGGCGTGCAGGGGTGAACGCGCCCCGGGGGGAGGGGCGGGGGCGTGATGACTAGGGGGGGTGGATATCATGGCTGGGGCCATGATATTTCCCCAGATTTCATGGCGTCTCTTCTTATTTCATGACGTCCCTGGCCCCCCCCCCCCTGAGCCGCGCACATGCCGCCGGCCATGATTTGCGCCCCCCTCCTCTTGGACATCCCCCTCTTGGCCGCCCCCGTGTTTCGGCCTTGGGTCAAGGGAGGAGAACCACCACGACCCCGATTATCGGCGTTCACAAAACGGCCCTGAGCCTTTACTGACGGGCCCTGCCCTGTTCTATGCCGTCCTCGGGTGCGTTTGCTGAGCGCCTTTGATTGTCGGGGTGATCCTCAACAGGGTGGTTTTTCTGCTCCCTGCTGGGGGCCACAAGGAGATGGGCCACAGCTTGGGAGCTCCAATCGCGAAGGATAGGATCGACGGCCTCCTCGGGGGCTCTGGCAGCGGCGGTCATTCAGGGTTGAGGTCTCTTGGCGCGGCGTCAGAGGCCAGCGCCCACGCCGGCAAGGCAGGGACTTTGCAGTAGTCGGCGTGCACTTGTTGCGCTCGAGATGCGCAGCGCCAGAGGCTTCCTCCCGCGTTTTCTCCTCTGCGGCCGTCCTCTTCTTGCCCCAGCCCGCTGCGTGTGCGAGTCGTCCCCGCGCGGCCCGCGGGCGTGCGCCCGCCCTCGCCGCTGCCCCCCAACAAAAAGCTTGAGCGCTCGCACGCGGCTGCGAGTGTCACAGTGGCGACGTGCGCTGGCGAGCCGAGAGGAGGTGGTCGGGAGGCGGCGCTGCCAATGTCGCGCAGCGTGGAACAAGGCCTTCCACTAGCGCGTTTGCTCCCGCGGGCTCGGCGGGCGATGCCGCCTGTCGCCGTGGTCGCCGCCGAGCCTCCCCCCTCTCTGAGTGGCCGAGCCCCCCCTCTCTTTTGAGTCCTCGGCTTCGACGGGAAGGCAGGAACGACAGATGGGCGAGGGGGATAATTAGTCATGGCGGCGGATGAGTGTGTGTATATGTGTAGATGTGTCTGTGTGTGTCCGTGTGTCCGTGTGTCTGTGTGTATGTCTATGTGTGTCTGTGCATGTCTGTGTTTGTGTGTGTGAGTGTGTTTGTGTTAGTGTGTTTGTGTTTGTGTGTGCGCGTGTGTGTGTGTGTGTGTGCGTGTGCGTGTGCGTGTGCGAGTGCGTGTGTGTGTGTGTGTGTGTGTGTGTGTGCTTGTGTCTGTGTGTGTGCGTGTGTGCGTTTGTGTGTGTGTGTGCGTGTGCGTGTGCGTGTGTGTATGTGTGTGTGTGGTTGTCTGTCTGTCTGTCTGTCTGTCTGTCTGTCTGTATCTGTCTGTCTGTCGGTCTGTCTGTCTGTTCTGTCTGTGGTGCGTGTGTGTGTGTGTTGTGCGTGTGTGTGTGTGTATGTGTGAGTGTGTGTTGTGTGTGTGGTGTGTGTGTGCGGGTGTGTGTGTGTGTGTGCGGTGGGTGGGCGGAGGTGGGGGGGGGAAGGGGGGGGCGGGTGTGGGGGAGGGCTAGGTCGGGGTGGGTGGGTGGGTGTGGGTCGAGCTAGCCAGTTCGAACGAGCCAGAGGGCTCCGTCCACTCCCACCCGGCCTCTCACAACATAAGAAGCAAGTGCGTCGCGTCCGACGCCTGTCGCTCATCTTATATCGTGGGCGGCTAGACGTTCAGCGCGCGACGTGAGCTGCGTCCCATTCCTGCCGCGTATTGAACAACGTCGACGAGAAACAAAACCGCGCGCGATGTACGCCGCGCCCTGCTCTGGCCTCTCATGTGCATCGTCGGCGACAACATGTCCAGCGCGCGAAGTGCGCCGCGTTTTATTCCAGCCATGCGTGGTGTACTGCCAGTTGTTTCGATCCTGCCGCGCATGGAGGAGGGGGAGGAGGAGGAGGAGGAGGAGGAGGAGGAGGAGGAGGAGGATGAGGAGGGGAGGGACAGAGAGAGGGAGGGAGAACCTGAGGAGGAAGAAGAGAATGTCTCTTGGGAATTAGCGGGGCGTCCCATTCCCGCTACGCGACTCTCAGCGCCGACGAGGAGAACGTACATGTTGGCAAGGACAACGTCGACGTTGCGGTGCTCTTTGGCTGTAGGACGGGGGGTCCCGCGTAGGGTTGGCCAGGCGTCCGCGCGCGATGCGCGCTGCGTCCCATTCCTGCTACACGCAGCGCCGACGACAAGTAAGTCCATGTTGACGAGAACAACGTTGATTCGCATTGCTTTTTGATGGGTAGGACGCGACCACCCGCTTGGGGCTACCCAAGCGATGTTCACTCCGCCCCACTCCTGCACATTTTCGCAACTCGACGACATGCAGGCGACAACACATTAAGTTTGTGCTACTGTTGACAGTTGGGACGGCGGGTATGCCATCGGCCGGCTAGGTGGGGATGTGGGGGTGTTCAATCATAGGAAGTCAGGATGTGGGTGTGGGTGTGGGTGTGGTGGTGGGGGTGGGTGGGTGGGTGGGTGGGGCGTTGTGGGTGGGGGAGGGGGGGGGGGGGGGGGGGGCAAACGGGGGAGAAGGGGAGGGGGGGTGCACGGGAAGCTGGGGGGCTGGGGCGGGGGGCGCGGGCAGCGAGGCAGGAGGAGGGCGGCGGCCCGCGAGAGGGGGGGGGGGGGGGCGGGGCATCGAGCCACCCCGAGAGGACCCGCGGCGGGCAGGCTCAGGAGAGCGAAGAGGTGCGGGGCACGCCAGCCCCCCCCCCCCTTCGGGGGGCGCTCGGCCCTCCTCAGCTTTCAAGCAGTGGTGAAGCGTCCTGGTTCGCTTGTTAGGCCTACCAAACAATGTTCTAAGAACCTTTTTTTTGTGGTTCCCACCAAACGTTCTCAGAGCAGTTCAGGCGGAGTCTGTTTCGTTTCAACACATCGGGCTAATGTTCTAAGAACATTGTTTTTGTTCTTAGAGCATTTGGGGGTTCTAAGAACATTTCGTGGTAGGACTATAGGAATGCCGGGACGGTCGGTCCCTTCTCACCCCCCCCGGGGGCGTTCGGCCCCCCTCCCCTGAAGTCGGGCACGTCCTCCTGCAGGCGGAGTTTGGACGAGAAACGAAACACAGTCCAGAAGTAACCAAACGTAGTCAGGACACATCGTCCCCCGACTACTGCTTGACATAACTTTGGGGCATTGCTGCTGTGGAGGGCCATGCCCGATTAAACCCTCTGCGTCCTTGCCCGCCCCTTCTCCAGCCCTGGGCAGCCCCTCCTCCTCTTCCTCCTCCTCCTCCTCCTCCTCCTCCGCCTCTCCTCCCTCTCCTCGTTCTCGGCACGCCCGCCCGCGCCCTCGCCCCTTCTCTTGCGAGAGCGCGTGCCTCCCTCGGCTGTGCGCGTCTCCTGCCGCACGTCGCGCGCCGTCGTCCTTGACTTCTCGCCTGGTTGCCACACCCTTCCGCCCCTCCTCCTCCTCCACCTCCTCCTCTTCCTCCTCCTCTTCCTCCTCCTCCTCCTCCTCCTCCTCCCCCTCCTCCTCATCCTCCTCCTTCGCCGCTTCGCTCGGGCGATCAAGGGGCGCGGAGCAGCGACGGGGCCCGCTCCCACGCGCGACTTCCGCCGCCGAGCGAGGCGGCACCGGCCAGCCGCATGTTTTTTGGGGGGCACCTCCCCCGATGCATGGATGTGGCGGCCGCGCGCCAGATCCATGGATCGCTAGTCCATGTTTGCGCGCCCCCGATTCTCGGAGAGCAAGCAGCGGCATGAGCGCAGAACTTCTCGAAGGTTCCGCGCGGACTTTCTGGACTGGCGCTGGGGCCCCCCCTGGCGACGCCTCCCTCAGTCGCCGGGCCCACTGGGGGCGCGCTCCGCGCTCGCCAGGTAGGGGCGGGCCCCAGCGCCGATCCAAGAGATCCGTGCGGACTTGCGAGGGTGTACGCTCATGCCGCTCTCGTTCCTCTGCCTTCGCCCCTTCCCCGCCTCCCCCCTCTTCTCCCTCTCGCCTCCGCTCTTCTCGACGCCCGGGCCGTCGCGAGGCGGGGGGGGGGGCCCAGCGCCGGTGTCCAAGAGAGCTGCGCGAGCTTGCGAGGGTGTAATGCTTCTGCCGCTCTCGTCCTTCTGCCTTCGCCCCTCCCCGCCCCCCTCCTCTCTTTTCGCACATGGACATTTTATTCGAAGCTTGCGGCCCGAGATGCCCCCCGGACCCCCCGCAATGAATGTTGATGGCGTGGCGACGGAGGGGGCGTGCACGGGCAGAAATATTCGCCCCCAAGGCACCGCCTTCACTGAGATCAGCACTGATGTCGGGGGCGTGGAGGCGATTCAGAAATCTCCCTCGAAAGTGGAAGGGTTCGAATAGATTGTCCATCCACTGTCCCTCTCGCCTCCGCTCGTCTCGACGACCCGGCCAGGGCGAGGCGGGGGGGGGCCTTTTAGCAGGCGCGGTGCGCTCGAGCAGCACGGGGCGTCGGCGCCCGAGGGGGCCGCAGCTTTCCTCGCGCGCGTGCTGAAATTCGCGGCGCTTGGCGCTCGGCACCCCTTCCGGAGAGGAGCCTTGGGCGTGGAACGCAGAGCGACGCGGGAGCGCGCAGCAGCCCACAATGCCAGACCAGGAAGCGGTGCCGACACCGCTGCCTTCCCCTCGTCGCCTCCCTTGGTTTCGCCTCGACGGTCAGCTTCTACCCCTGGAGAGGTCCGGGGATTAGCGGCATGGGTAACCTTTCGGTCCTCCAGCACGGGTTGTCGACGTGGCTTCCTCCTCCTCTTCCGCAGCCGCACGCGTCGCTTCGGGGTCCGAGATGCAGCTCGTTCTGGGGGACGCTCCTCCTTGTCCCCTTGGTCATTCTCCCCATCTGTCCACCCCCTCTTTCCTCCTTTTCCTTTTCCTCCTCCTCCTCCTCCTCCTCCTCGTCCTTCTCTGACTGTATCGCGGCGTGCTTCCATACAACCTCGAAGAAGAATACCACGAGTGTCTGGCATGTGGCTTGACTCTGTTATCCCCTTGACTTTCCCCAGGAACGCCCTGGACGCCCTTTCGGACGTCTCGGCGGTCCCCGGGACGGCTTTTGAAAATGGTCCTCTGGCCCTTCAGGGTTTCCCATGGCGCCTCGCCGGGCCTTGCAAGCAGACTCAAAGCGATCAGAGGGGTCATCGGAGAGGCGTAAGAGAGACCCGAGAAAGCACGAGAGCGCTCAAAGAGGAACCTCGATGGTCCGAAGACGGCCCACGAGGCCCCAAAGACGCGCTAAGAGGCAGTGAAGAGAGCACAGAAGAAGCAAACATCGTCCCATTCCTTTTGGAAATGAATATGTTTAGCATATCCGGTTTTTGCGTCTTCGCAGCGTCCAAAGCGGCCCGATGGGCCCCCGATACCGCCCCAAGACGGCCCAAGAGGCCCCCAGAGGGTTTGAGGACGGCCCAACAGGACCCCAAGACTGCCCCAGAGAGCCCCGAGACTGCCCTCAAAAAACCCAAGATGCCCCCCAGAAGGCTCCCAAGAGAGACCCACGAAAACCATGGGAAACCCCCAAGAAGGCCACTGGATGCCCCCAAGAGGACCCTAGATGGCTTCAGAAGACTTCTAAGGGGGCCCCAGCTCCCCGAGACGGCCCAAGAAGGCCCCAGGACGGCCCACGAGGGCCCGTGGACGGCCCAAAAGAGTTCCGAAAAAGCCCAGGCGGCGTTTTCCGTGCGCTCGCTGCGCTCACGCCAGCCCGCTTGTCTTGCCCGTGCCTTTATCATGTTTTTTTTGTTTTTGTTTCTCTCTCTCTCTCTCTCTCTCTATCTATCTCTCTCTCTCTCTCTTTCTCTCTCTCTCTCTATGTATCCCTTCCCCCTCTGCCTTCTTCGTCGACCTCCACGGTCGTGGCATCCGATGGCCATCCTCATTCGCCCGCTCCTTCCTCTGGACCATCTCCCCGTTTCTCCAACCCTCCTCACCCCTTCCGCCTCTTCAGCCCCCCCTCTCATCCCTGCTCCCTTCCCGTTCCCCGTTCATGGACAGGTACCATCGCAACAGTTTGATGCTTCGTCTTTTGCCAGCACCCTTGCGCGCGAAAAACATGCAATTCCTCCCCCACTCCGGCGCATAAGCGTGCAAGCGCATTTGGCGAACGCGGTGTCAGCAGGCACGCGGGATATCAGAAAAATGAGCCGGTCGCCCGTCCAGGTCTCGGGGTCTCCCCTGTTGTGGCGAGGGATGATTTACGTATTGATGTGCCGGAAAAGCGCCTGGAAAAAGGCGCACGGCGCGACGCGCCAATGCAGTCTTATATACAATATATATATATATATACATATATATATGCATACATATATATATATATATATTATCATACGCGCGTCTCCGAGGGAGTAGTAGAGTTCAGAGGCGATCGATGCGCACGCGGGGCGCCGCGTCCGCGATTTTTCTGGCCGCTTCGCTAGGGACATCCTCGAACTTCCGAAAATCTGTGGCACCCCCCGCGCAGATCGTGACGTCAGGGTCCAAAAACACATGGAAATTTCAACATTTCAACGTAAAACCTTCAAAAACACATGGTACTTCCAATAATTTTGACCCCGATTCTCAGAGAATGGTGGTTTCGCCTGAAACATCCACCCAACATCGAGCCCCGACGTACCCTCTGGTACCCCAGACCCCGCTTCGGAGCCTCCTGGGGACCTCCTGGAACCTCCTGGGGCCTCCTGGGGTTTTCTGAACCTTGTGGTGCCCCAGACCCCGCCTCGGAGCCTCCTGGGGGTCTCCTCAAACCTCCTGGGGCCCCCTGCGGCCTCCTGGAGCCTCTTGGGGCCTCCTGAAGCCTCCTGGGGTCTCCTGGGGCCTCCTGAGGCCGCCTGGGGCCTCCTGGGGCCTCCTGGGGCTTCATAACTACATGCACACACAGAGACGCAAATCACGCCCAACACATCACACGCTAGACAAACATAACACACACGCAACACCTACAACGAACAAAAAGCACGCACAACACAGAGCACACACATCACACACACACACACACGCACACACACACACAACACTCACAATCCTGGGCTTCCTGGAGCGCCTTCTGGTATCCAACTCGGGCCTCCTGAGGCTTCCTGGGGGGGGCCATGGTACACACGTCGCAAGGTGCGGCAACCCCACTTGCGGTCGAGTGCGACTTCGTTGTTGCATGTCACTCCTGTTTCAAATGCCCCTTTCAGTTTTTTGGTATGAGCCTGGGCACACACGTGCCACTTGTATATACATATATATAAAAACCTGCAGACATACATACATATATGCATATATGTATATATACATATATACAAATATTCATTTATTTATATGTATACACATCTATACATCTATACACATATATGTGTGTGCGTGTGTATGTATGTATGTATACCTATACAGCTGTAGATATGCTGAGATATTTGCGTCAAAAACAATGGGTGCATATATGTACGAATTCACTTGTGCTCCATTGGAACCAATCTGATTTGCGCAATCCCGAACTCATATTGTCATTCTCCCAGGTCTCCCAGTCAACCGCAGAGCGGCGGGCCAGCGGCACGAAGCACAGCAAGAGGAGCCCACGGCCGAGGAGGCGAGGGCCTTCCGACCTGGGCCGCACGCCTCGGCATCATGGCCGGCGGATTCATCCCAGTACGGTCCATGGGCGTCCCCAACAGAGGGAAATCGCCTACGACCCTATCCTTCCTTCCGCTCTTCCTTTGCTTGCGGCAAGTGAGTGACGCCTCGACGTTGCGGCGACGCCTGCGCGGGCGGTCAGGGTCGAGCATCCCTTTCGGGACTATGAGAACGCAGCGCGGGCCCTGTGACGCACAGAGAGCAGCCCGCGGCGCGAAACCCATGCGAGAAACGGGCTGCAGCCTCTGGGGAGATCGTTCGTGGTCGAGCGGCCGTCGCGGTGTTTCAGACTGGGGCACACGCCGTGGCAGCAGCTTGTCGCACTCTTCCCTCCAGTCGCCGTCCGCCCTCCCCTCTCGCAATCTCTGCGACCATTTGTGCCATCTGCGGGTCCGATCGACGCTCGGGCACAGTGGAGACCCATGCCAAGTAACACCCTGCTTGCCTCCAGGATGCCCAGGGTTTCTTGGGTTCGATGGTTTTGCCATGGAAGCGTGACGTTCCCACACGAAAAGTCAGTGGACGTCCTGGGGTATGAGGGTTGGGTTTCTTGTGGAAGGTTTCGTGTGGTCGAGCCCCTACTGTTCCGGACAACCCCCCCGCTGGGGTTTACTCGGCTGCAGGCGTTCTCCAGATTCTGAACCTTGGCTGGTTTTTCTGAAATGGGACCCGCAGGGATGCTTGAGGTTCAAGTGTGGCCGCCTGCCGCCTTCATCGGCCTTGGGGCAGGCAAACATGAGGGACGAGGCTGTTGCGCTTGTCTTTGCAAAAAAAACAACATAAAACGAAACAGAGAGCATCTCATCAAGACGTGGCATCGCCTTACTGCAGACAGCGGCGCAGGAGGTGCAAAGAAACAGAGCAGTGGAGAAGCCCGCGAGGGCATAGAGTATTACATATGCATGCATCCGCTTGCTTCTCCCCGTTCGCTTTGCTGCTGCCGCTGCTGCAGCGCACACCTGACTTACTCCTTTTCTTGATATTGGCCGCCTGCGCGCATCTCTTTATATTACTGTGTGTTGATTCCGCCCCACTCGTTTCCGCCCCCCATCATCATCATCATCATCATCATCATCATCATCATCATCATCATCATCATCATCATCATCATCATCATCATCAGCAGCAGCAGCAGCAGCAGCAGCAGCAGCATCATCATCAGCATCATCATCGCATCATCATCACCAGCAGCACCATCATCATCACCATCATCGTCATCACCATCATCATTAACAACACAACACCATCAGCATCAGTATCATCATGATCATCGGTATCATCCTCACCGTCACCATCATCGTCGTCATCATTATCATCATCATCATCATCATCATCATCATCATCATCATCATCATCATCATCATCATCATCATCATCATCATGATCATCATCCGCAGCAGCACCATCAGCACCATCATCATGACCTTCACACTGCTCTGCTGGATCGCTTCCACCCACGACTCGCACTTTGTTCCTTCTCCACCCACTCCACGACGGGGCGGAGGCTGGGGAGGACGAGTGGGGCAGAAGAGTTTCCACCCAACCACGTCCTCCTTGTCCACACTCTTCTCTCCCCTTCCTCCTCGATCAAATGTCCGCTCTTCCCTTCGCTGGAGCTCTGAGGTGTCACACTTCGTGTGGGGGAGGAGGGGGAGGACGCCGAGAAAGCGACCACCAACAAACCACACGTTCGCCCTCTTCCTTTTTGCCCCTCCTCCATCATCATCCTCCTGCCCACGTACAGCTTTCACCCTAAAGAGTCCGCAGAGATATCCTGGACACGGCGAAGCAACACAGCACTTTTTAGATTATCCTCCTCGTCTCCATCCCTCCTCAATCACCCTCCTTCAATCCCCGAGTTTCCTTGATACTGCTGCCTCCCAGAACCCCTTTGAAGCCCAAGCAAGCACGCCGAAAAAACGCCCAAGACCTTGTTAGAAGGTTCTCATAGTTCCCCTCCTTCCCCCTCCTTCCTAAATGTTTCACCATCTTATAAAACCTTCAATTGCCCCCTGATGGTCCAGGACGCAGGACGACCTTCCCCCCCCCGCCCCGTCCCTCCCCCCGCCCCACGTGCACCTCTCGTAGTATGCCTCCCTCGTGGCCCTCGAGCAGGGATGAGGAGGATAGAGGATAGACGAGAGGGTGTCCTGAGAGAAAGGAGGAGGAGGACCAGTGCAAACTCAAGACGCACCACCAATGTTGCAATACACACTCCCTCCAGGATCTCTCTTCATAGGTCCCTACAAGAATTTATGTTCATTGCGAGAGTCACAGTTTGAAAAGTAAGCCCCCTTGTATCCTTGATGCAGCTGCGAGCTTTTAGAACCAACGAGCACGGCGCTGAGGCGAGAGCAACTTTAGAAGATTACCCGCTTCCCATCCTGGAAGTTGCTGCCGACGCGCGGCACGAAGGCTAGGCCTACGTTCTGAAAAGGACCCGCCCTCAACCCTGGAAGCGGATGCAACTTGTAAGAAGAATGTGCACGACGCGAAGGCGAGAGCCACATGTTGAGAACCACGCGCCCTCAGTCCTCGAAATTGTTGCAGATGTCAAGCCTCATGATGATACATGATGAGGGAGGCTCCGGCGAAACGCCCAGCCCGCCCTACCGACACCTCTGGAGGTGCGACATGGTATTGAGGAGGAGGAGGAGGAGGAGGAGGAGGAGGAACGAGGCGGAGGGCGATCGATAATGAGAGGGCGGCTGGAGGGGGAGAGGGTGAAGGGAGAGGAGGGAGGAGGAGGATGCGTGGGCGAGGAGGAGGAGGAAGAGGAGTGCGAGAGAGGGACAAACTACGTGCGCTCGCCGCACATGTGTCATGCTACTCCCTCCGCCCACCATCCCGCAACTTCGCCCCCTGTCGACCTCCCCTCCGTCGCTTCGCGTGCCTCGCTCACGCGAGCCCTGTCGCCAGATGAAGAGCTGCGCGCGTAAGAAAACGGAGTGCCGGCGCGAGTTCCTCCTCCTCCTCAGCATTTCTCGTGTTTCGTTTTCTCGTTCTCCTTCGCTTTCCTTGGTCGTCATCCTAATGTTATTTCCTCTCCTTCCCTTCCTCCCCCTCATCCTCTTCTCCCTTCTTCTCCATCTCGTCCCCATCATTTCCCAGTAGTCCTGCTCCTCCACGTCCGCCTGATCACACCTCATTTCCCCCATTGGGCCCCCTCTTCCTCGTCGTCCTCCTCCTCCTCCTCCTCCTCCTCCTCCTCCTCCTCCTCCTCCTCCTCCTCCTCCTCCCCTACTGGTCCTCCGATCCCCCTTCCCCCTCTGCCTCATCGTTCTCCTTGTCCTTCTCCTTCACCTTTTTTCTCCTCCGTTTCGTTCTTCTCGTCCGTCTCCTCGTCCTCTCCGTCTCCTTCCCCTCTTCCTTCCGACCCCCTCCTCCTCCTCATCCGTGTTCCCTCCTTCTCCTCCTCCCCATCCTCTTCCCCCCCATCCTCTCACCACCCTCAAACATCGCTCCCCAGACCCACCGTGTGGGGCGTCCTGATCAGACTTGCGATCCATGATCCGATTGCTGGGAGGCAGACCCGACCCTCCTCGTTTGGCTCCAGGGAGGGACAAGGATGGCGGGAGGTTTGATGAGGTTTGCACTGACATTGGCGCGTAAGTTGCCCGCGTAAGGTCACGCAAAGCGCCCTCGCCTCGACTGTAGCGCGCCGCGCTGGCGGCCCACGTCAGCCGCCGCGTAATGTCGTAACGGCGACGGCGACGGCGACGACGACGACGACACCGACGACGATGACGACGACGATGACGACGACGACGACGACGTAGGCGGCGCGCCTCAGGGGGTGCGCGCCGCGGCCCCCGTTGCCGCTACCCCCCCTCTCCCCCAGGGTATCACGTACGATCCCCGGGGAGTGCAGATGTGGACGCTACCTCATCTTGTGCAAAAACCCGTCCCGTTTCGTCACGCACGCGTGGTTCGCCGCTCGTTGGGCTCCCCTTGGCGCCCTCGCCGCCGCCCTCCGAGAAAGTCTTGCCGGGTCGTGCGCGGGGAGCGGGCCCCGCGTCCCTCGGACCTCCTGGGGCGTTCCGCGTCACAGTGCGCACTACAGTGGAGCTCCAGGCCAAGAGACGCCCTGCTTGCCTCCGGGGTGCCCTCGGATTGTTGGGTTTCGGGGGTTCTGCGATGGAAAGCGTGACGTTCCCACACCAAGAATCGGTGGACGTGCTGGGGTCTCAGGGTTGGGCTTCGTGCGGAGGGTTTCTTGTGGACCAGCCTTCTTTGTAGGAAGGATGAGCGACGTTCCAAGGTTACCCCTTCAGCCTTCCCCATCGGCCCATCCTTGGTCGCTTGGGCCTGCCGCGGCCCGCTCGCAAAGTGCCGACATAGCCCCCCATGGGCCTTCCATCCTTATCGTGCGTCCTTCTTGTACGGGTTTGAGTTGTTTTCTATGACTTGGAAGTCATGAGGTCCGTTTGAGGCCCCAAGGACCGTCAGAAATCGGCCCGGGGTGATCACGCATTGAAGGAACAACGGCCCCTGATCTCGCAGCCCTGACGCATATCTGCAGTCCAAAGCCCAACCCTTGATGGAGCAGCTCAAGGACTCGATTTGCGAGCATTTCATGGCGCAGCAGTCCGCGCTAGCGGTCGCTCCTTCGCTGAGCGCTTGGCGACAGTGGCGAGGGAACCCACGTCGTGCAATCCGAGACCTTCTAGTCCTTAGTAGACACGTCATACAAGAAGCCGGCCTGCCAGCAGGTAGCAGGGAAGGGATAAAGGGAAGGCAGTCGACTTGACTACGACGTTAGTTTTCCTTGTTCCTCAGTTTCTTTTGGACTAATGACGACGACGACTCGAACAGAAAAGCATCTCACACACGCCGAAGGGTCCGCGGATTCTTCGATCGCATATGCCCGTCCTTGCTCTAGCCCATGTCCAAGCATCCCAGTCGTTGCCGTACCACTTCGAACGTGTGAACGAGAGCTTCTTCGCACTCCAGGCGACTCGGCAATCGCCCAGTTCCTCTCCACTGGGGCGGCTGGACATGAACGGGCACTCGACTGACGCGACTC